ATTCAATGAAATGATCGTAACCCCTCTCCCCACTCCTGTCCTGCATGTGACTCACGGCTGATAGTTCCAAAATGACCAGATATGGACAGAAGAGGTGGGGACTACCCCCAATGCTAAGAGATCCCTACCCAAGGGTTGACTTTTCCTGGAAAAGCCCCACTTTCTGCTGAATATACACCCCCGACCCAGAACCTCACCTCCTGGCAGTTCTCTGAGCTGGCCTACTACACTTGTTCTGCCTTGGACAGAGCTTATTATCTTCAACAAATTTCCTTTTGCTTCACTGCACATCATCTTAGATTCTTTTCTATGATGAAGGCCAAGACCTGGATCCTGGAAAGGAGATTGGGACTATTTCCCTTAACTGCAAAGAGCACAGATAACCTTGTCGCAGCCTGAGGACCACAGCACTCCCCGATCCTGGTGGTAGGGATTAGTTTCCACAGTGCACGGAGCTGCCTAATGAGGCTGGGTATCCCTAGGTGGCCTAGAACAGGAGACTTCACCAGCCCTGACTTTACCCAGCAGCCTTTGCAAGGAAGGGCAAAGGGCACTCCACAGTGGAAGAAAGGAAGATGATGGTTAGAACCCAAGAGGTGCCTCACCTCAGTATCTCTCCCTGCTCGGGAATTAAGGGCACCAGAAAACTATTACAATCTCAGCAATATTACTAATAGCCCGGATTTTTCAGGATGAAGGTTTGGATCACCCCATTGATAAGAAAAAAGAAAAAACAACTGGCCGGAGGCTAGAGAAATACAAGAGGGGACAAGGCATGCCTCACATGAGGACAACCTGGGTTCAATTCCTGGTATCCCATGTGGTCCCCTGAGTCCCATCAGGAGTGTCTCCTGAGCGTAGAGACAGGAATAAGCCCTGAGAACTGTCAAACCAAACCAAAACCCAAACAAAAACCTGACCAGCCAAGGCTTGTTAGTAGCAAAGAAATACGGAGTGATAGTAGAAGGTTGTAGAAGGTAGCAGAAGATGCCATAAACAATACCTATGATTTGGTGATCATGAGTATTTCCTCCTTAATTTGCTATGAATACAACAGGGTATGTACAAATAGTTACTAGGAAAGATGAGATGCACTTTTTTTTTTTATAAATCACTGCGTTAATTTTTGCTGGCTTACAATGCAGATTTAAGGAATGGAGGTTTAAGAAGAGGGAACATTACTCTAGAAGCAGATAGTACAGTGGACAGGGTGCTTGCCTTGCATGCATTCAACCTGGGTTCGATCCCCAGCACCCATACAGTTTCCCAAGCCCTCTCAGGGAGTGAGTCCAAGTGCAAAGTCAAGAGTAAGCCCTACGTATTGTTGGGTGTGCCCCCCCAAACAACTGTCTGTCACTGTCCTCCCGTTGTTCATCGATTCGCTCAAGCGGGCCCAGTAACGTCTCCATTTTGAGACATGTTGTTATTGTGTTTGGCTTTGTCACACTGGCGAGATACTGTCGGTAGCCTGTCAGGCTCTCCCAAGAGGGGAGGAGGAATCGAACCCAGCTCAGCCGGGCTGGCTAACGTAAGGCAAATGCCCTACCTCTGTGCTATCGCTCCAGCCCTACACAAACAAATAAAAAACAAAAGGCCAGAGAGATAGTACAATGGGAAGGACGCTTGCCCTGCACAGTATCAACCAAGTTAGATCCTAGCATCCCATACAGTCCCCTGAGCATTGCCAGGAGTGATTCCTGAGTGCAGAGCCATGAGTAATCCCTAAGCATTGCTGAATGTGTTCCCCAAAACAAAAACAGACAAACATGGGGGGAAAAAAAGTTTATGTCCTCTGGGAAAGGGCTCAGTGAGTTTTTGCGCTAGGTATGAGAGCAATATTGTGTTAGGGAGAACTATAACCTTGTCCTCTTAATTTGTTTTATATGTCTTTATTTGAGGATGAAGAAAAGTTTAAGGAGCTGCTTATGGCTGCCAAATGACAGGGGTTGGACTTGTGATCTTAATTAGTACCATCAGATCTAGCCACAGGTCACCCAGATCAAGCATAATTTCAGGACGTTTCCAGCTAAGATCAGCACTGGGGTTGGTGGTTGAGATTAAGAGACTTCCCCTAAGTGACAGAATGTTCTGAGGGCAGATCTCAGGGAGGATGGGGATGAAAGGAAGTCAAGTGATACACATGAGCCCCTCTCGGTAACAGGACTGCAAATCATATGCCTACACGGGATAAGGGAAGAGGAAAGTGGCCGAAATGGAGGCAGGCTTGGGGGTGGGAGGGAAAACGGGAAAACTGTGGAGAGAAGTGGACACTGGTGAAGGGACTGGTGTTGGAACACCGAACGCCTGAAACTCAATCATGAATAACTGCAGTGCTGTAATTCACAAGGATTCAACTAAAAAAAATTTTCCCACAGAATCAGTTAAGATGATTTATCCTTACACACACAGACACACACATACAAACACACACAGACACACACACACACACACAAATGTTCTACTGGTTCTGTTTCTGTGGAGAACCCTTTTTCTAGTCAGTCTCTTTATTTTTTATTTTAGTTTAGTTTTGGTTTTGGGGCCCAGCTATGCTCGGGGTTTACTCCTGGCTGTGTTCAGGGATCATTCCTGGTGGGTTTAGGGGACCATAAGGAATGCTGGGAATAGAATCTGGGTTGGCCACATGCAAGGCAAGTGCTCTACCATTGCTCTGGGATCTCTATTTCAAAACATTCTAGTGAATTTATGATGATATCTCATTTGGGTTTCGATTTTCATTTCCCTAAAGCCTCGTGGTGTAGGTCATGTTTTCATGAGCTGATTTGCCACCAAAAGGTCTTGGGTGAACAGTTTTGTTCAATCTTTTGCTTATTTTACAAATGGAGTTTGGTTTTTCTTGAGTGCTGAGAATTCTTTATAGAGTCTAGATACCAGTTCATTTTGTTTTCTTTTGTGGATCTTTTTCTTTTTCTTTTTTTCTGGTGCAGTCATACTTGATGATGTTCGGGGATTACTCCTGGTTCTGCACTCAGAAATTACGCCTGGCAGTGCTCAGGGGACCATGTGGGATGCCGGGGATCGAACCTTGATCAACTATGTGCAAGGCAAGCACCCTCCCTGCTGTTCTATCTCTAGCCCCTCTTTGTATGCTTTTTGTATATTATAGAAACGTCTAACAATCTGAGGTCAAAGATTTTCAAGTTGTGATCCAATATCATTCGCTTCGTCTGGCACGAAGAACTTAGGGTGGAGAGTTCATTTCCATCATCTAAGCAGCCAGTGTGTTTAAAGGACCACTTCTTTAAAAGACCATCCTTTAGATCTACTGCCTACACCCCACAGCCCATAACACTGTGAGCACGGCCCCAACTACAACCACCAAACCGGAAGATGTGCTAGTTAAGGAGGCAGACTGGGGTGTGGAGGAGCCCAGAGACACTGACGGAGAGAAGCTGATTTTGGTGGTGGGACAGGTGTTGGGACACTGCATGCTTGAAAATTGATGATGAGTAACTGGGTAAATTACAGGCTCTTACAGAAAAAGGAAAGAAAGGGGGAAAGGATAATCACTTTTCTAGCAGGCTGGCCCCCACGGTGATTTCAGCCGCCTCACCACAAGTGTGCTGTGTCTCTGCAATCTCAGCTCCATCCCACTGAAGATTTCCCCATCCTCATACAAGCACCATAGTGTCTAAAATGACTCTAGCCTAGAGGATGCTCTGAAGTAAACATGCTTTGCTCTTTCCAAGGCGATTTGGCTATTCCGAATCCTCTATTTTGATATGAACTTCAGACCCAGGTTTGTCAATTTCTAAGCCCTCATCCTCCCAAATCTCCTGGGACTGGGCCTGTGACATCTCCAGACACATCTGGAGACAGGTGACAGCTGTACATTGCAGTTTCCTCGCCAGGGTGCGTATCAGTGCTTCTGGTGTGCCCTCTCCAAATCACTGGCCTTTTTTTCCTGCAGCTTTCTCCTCCCCTGTGTTCTTCCTGCCAACACTGGCCACTGCTCTGAGCATCCTGGAGCCTCTGATCCTTCTCAGCCTCTCTGCCTGGGCCCCTCACCTCTCCCCCTCACCCCCCAAGGCAGGTAGCACTGCAGGTAATCCCAGGGCTTGTCTCATTTCCTTCTGTCTCTCACTGCTCACTGTCCTTCACTGCTAGGTGTTCAGTATCTTCAAAACTGTTCCTTCATATCTGTCCGTATTTACAAAAACGGTTGCAGGCAGGAGGGTATATCCAATCCCTCTTATTCTATCTTGGTAAGAAGCGGAAGTTACGCTTTTAAAAAAATGTTTGATGTCAACTCTGTTCCAGTTGTAAAATCCAAGTAAAAACAGGACAAAGGCATGACTAGCAAGTAATCTCCTGCTTTAGCACCGTTAGTTCACTGACTCACCCATTCTGCAAACTCTCACTGACTCTGACAGAGCTAGCACTGGGCTGGCACTGGAATACAAAATGCTGAGAATCCAAACCAGACACACCCCTCACTCTTATGGAGCCGACAGTCTATTGGGGCTGACAGAGACTAACTGATTAAGGATAAAATAAATCTGTTTAACAGTGCAATGGCAATATCTGCTATGAAACAGGGCTGGAATACTGCTGTGATACTTCACAAGAAGGAGAAATCATGGTACTGCTTTCCACTGAGCCCACATTTATGAAAACAATGAGTACAGTGTAGATTTTTTAAAAAGTCACAAAGGAATTATATTAAGTATCCACCAGGAAATAAACATTCATCAAATGAACTGCTTGATAAACGTAATGATTTATTTACTAAGTTAAGTTTCCAAGAGCTTGGGAACATACAAATATTAGGACATTAGACACGTGCAAATAAAGATAAGATTGGTCTCATAAACTGCACAGAAATATAGCCTATCTACATCCTACATAAATACAAAGGGAACATTACTGTTTCAAATCTTATCTTGTCTATTTGTTCAAAAAAAAATTTTTTTTCCCCATCAGTACCTGCAGAAATTTGCTCTTCCCATTGAGAAATGATGTATTATTTTGTGAAGTCTTACCTAGATATCTCAGCCTGGGAATTCTTCTCTCCATCAACAGTGAAAGGAGAGGCCCCCGTGAGTAATTCATACGTTAGGACACCCAAGCTCCACCAGTCAACAGCCTATGAAAGAAGAATATCAGCTTTGGAATACCAACTAATAGATATTTCATAAAAAGAAAAGTGAACAAACAAAGCCGTACATTTAAAAGCTACTTGACAGATTTTGCATCCAGTTTTCTGGATAAGAAGTAATAAATGACAGTATACAGACAGATATTTGGTGGACAGATATGGACATAAGAGAACTTAACCCCAGCAAAGTCAGTCAGGGCACTGAAAAGCATTTTAGTCATTTCTAAAACTAGAAGCGGTTTTACTTTCTTGGCTAACTAATAAAAATTAAATTTGAAAATAACTTCTTTAAAATTTTTTTTTCTTTTTGGGTCACACCTGGCAATGCTCAGGGGTTCCTCCTGGCTCTGCACTCAGGAATTACTCCTGGTGGTGCTTGGGGGGACCATATGGGATGCTGGGGATCGAATCTGGGTTCACCGCATGCAAGGCATATGCCCTCCCCGCTGTGCTATCTATCACTCCGGCCCCAACAATTTCTAAAATTTTAACTAAATGAAATCTTTGGATTTTTTGATGGGGGAGTAACGATGTAAATTTTAATTTATTATTCAAGCCCAATGAATCATAAGAATTTCTGAAAATAAAAGAATATAGCTGAAAAAATCCATCTGAGGGTGATACTTTTTCATAACCATCTAATCAATCCTCCTGATAGAACCTAATCATGTAACCTTAAAAGCATTCATAGGAATGTGTGGAAAGATTTCAAATATAAAATAAACAAAATAAAATGCAATCTAAATTGGGAATCTGTAGGATAATATTTATTGGCCCTTCCTCCTTGGATGTAGGGAACTTGGGTTTGTTAACTGCTCCCCCTTTTCTTTTTACAAAAACACAAAATTTGAAATCTAAAATCTATTTGTAAATTCAATTACCTTATGAAAATCAAGACAAAGTATATAGAGTTTATGAAAACTTAGATCTTTCATGGTTAGAAGTGTCAAGATTTCAGTAACAGTTGAACACATGAGTTTCTATCAATGACATACTAACTGTCCAATTTTTTAAGCTGTCTGCTTCCAAATTTCAGGGCCAATGTTTTAAAGAAATGGTGCAAAATTTGCAAACCTAGAGATACTTTTAAGAATAGGTAACAAACTGGGGCTGGAGCAACAGCACAGTGGGTAGGGCGTTCGCCTTGCACGTGGCCGAGCCGAGTTCGATTCTCAGCATCCCATATGGTCCCCTGAGCACCGCCAGGAGTAATTCCTGAGTGCAGAGCCAGGAGTAACCCCTGTGCATTGCCGAGTGTAACCCAAAAAGAAAAAAAAACAGGTAACAATGATATAAAAAGGATGAGATAAGCTGAACACACGAGGCATCTGTATAGGATGGTGGGGACTGAACCCACCCCAGTCATGTGCAAGGCAAGCGCCCTACCTTCTGTGCTATCATTCTAGCCCAAAGACGTGTTCTTAAACAGGTGCAGATCAATAACCAGAGTTTGAGTCTTGGGCCTGAAATCAATACACATACCCTGAAGTATAACAGGCTTCTAAGTATCATTAGTCATTAGTCAGAAGAACATTCTTCCAAGTTAAGATATTCCTCCAATCTTCCTCTAAATATTCTACTAAGATATTACGTTTGTAGGACTTTGGAAGGCACAGAGGGAGAGAGGAAGGTGGGACACAGAAAGTCAAGTTCCTTATCTGGAGAAAGTCATTAACAAAGCACAAAGAATGCACAGATGTACAACCTTTAACAGGAGGAATCAAAGTAAGGGACTTAGGTATTATTTCATGATATACCGAAGTCTCTTCTATAATCATCATTCTGTACATCGACAGGGAAGCAAAGAGTGGTGAAAAATCAAGCTTTTCAGAGGGCTTCGGAGAACAGACTATGTTGAGTTTGGGTTTTATTCTCTCACAGTTGTTGCAACGGTTATCTCTGTGGCAGAGATAATCAACAATATCTCCGGCCTCGTGAGAAAGTTAAAGGCAGAAATTTCTTGGATCTCTTCCCTCTAAAATACCACTTAAGGTATGTTCTACTCTACAGAGTGAAGAGAAACTGAGACAGCCCAGCACCACCGGGGTGCAGCCAGGACGCCTCAACTGTGCTCCCTAGCACGGACCTGCCAAACACGCATAGAGGAACACCGGAAGCAGAAAAAAGAACGTACCTTGTCGTGTCCCGAGTCTCCGCCTTTGACAATATCTGGGGCCATGTATTCAATTGTTCCACAAAAGGAATATGCTCTTTCAGCCTTAAACAAATAAACAGAAAGGGATGTGACTCCATGCTAGCACAACCAGTGTCAGTCAAAGAAAGTTCCCACAGCATGTGGGTAGCTCAGGTCTACGGCGCAACAAAGCAGTGGCAGAATTTCGCTCTCACCAGGACACACATCTCTGTGGTGTGGGTTCTGGATGAACATCTCGTGCCTGAAACCCAGTAGCCTTCCATCTATTCATCTGTGCATCCATCTACCCACCCACCCATCCATCCATCATCCATCCATCCATCCATCCATCATCTATCCATCATCCATCCATCCACCCATCCATCCATTATCCATCCATCCATCATCCATCCATCCATCCATCCATCCACCCATCCATCCATCATCCATCCATCATCCATCCATCCATCCATCCATCCATCCATCCATCCATCCGTTCATCCACTCACCCACACACATGTCCATCTGCCTGTCCATCCAGTCATCTGTTACCATACCCATTCTTTTTCCAAAATGCAAGTAGCCTTAATAGGGTACCATGAGCTGCCTGACACTTTAGTGTAAATGACTCTTTCCAGCTAGGTAAGATTGGAAAAACACTAGAAATTTGAGAGGGAAGGATGATCAACTTCTAGAAGGGGAACAGAGAACACAAAGATGAAAAAAACAAACAAGCTTTTCCTACCACACCACCTTGTTTACACTGCTGATAGCATGATTGGCATTGATAAACCAAAACTGCCTTTTTGAAAAGTGATGTTTCTATTATTTGTGTTTATTTGTTTGGCCATGCCAGGTGGTGTTTGGGCTTACTCCTGGCTCAGGAATTACTCCTGGTGGTGCTTAGGGGACCATATGGGATTCTGGGGATCAGATCCAGGCTAGTGCGTGCAAGGTACTCTATCTGCTGTACTTTCTCTCTAGTCTCCTAAAAATACTAATGTCTTTAAAAAGTTATTTCCTTTTTGAAGAACTTTTTTTGGGGGCTCACACCCAGGGGTGCTCAGGTATACCCCCAATTTCTCCCAAAAGAGTTAAATGGAGTTCAGAGTGAAAGTATAAAGGGTAGTACACTAACCTTGTACACAAACAACCTGGGTTCAATCCCTGGCATCCCATGTTCCCCCTGAGCACTGCCAGGAGTGATTCCTGAGTGCAGAGCCATGAGTAACCCCTGAGCAGAGTTGGGTGTGGCCCCAAAACAACCCCCTCCCACCCAAATTAAGTGACCGAGTTTGTCACATCACCCCACAAGAATAAAAAAAAAAAGAGACATTCAAATTGTTAAGTAGAATAAATAGCAAAAAATAAACAATTATTTTTTTGCAATTTACTCTGCTATGGCTGTATCTATAACTTTTAAAGGTACTTTGAGGCAATTAAATTATTTTGGAGAAAGGTTCCCCCTCCCCCCGGGAGGAGGGGCACACCCAGCAGAGCTCCGGGCTTACTCCCGCTTCTGTGCTCAGGGATCGCTTCCTGGTGGGGTTTGGAGGGGACCCTATGTGGTGCGGAGGTTTGAACTGGGTCAGTCCTGTGCAAGGCAAGCACCTCAGCCCCTGCACTCTCTCTCCAGTCCCTGGAGAAAGCTTTTCAATGGACTCTGTAGTCTTCTTTCACCAGAAAGATTTATAAAAAATGATTTCTCTATCAAATGTAGCCTGTCCACAGGGCAGAGTCTGGCAAACTCCCCGTGGCGTACCAAATATGCCAAATACCAGTAACAATGATGGGTCTCATTCTCCTAAAGAGCCTTGAGTATAATCTCAGGGCTAGGATGAAAGAGACGTTACTGGGGCCTGCTCGAGGCAATCGACGAGTAACAGGATGATGAAATGAAAAGAAATGAAATGATTTCTCTTAATTATCAATTTTAAATGTCAAGAATGTTATTTCAGTTATGTTATAGAGCTCTCTATTGACTGGAGCTTAAGCAAGCTGCAGAGCTGATGAATATAGTCAATGTACTTAAAGGCTGTATTTTAAAATATCTAATTTAATATACGTACAAATATTAATGCAAAATATGATCTGTAAGTTTCAATTATGTGCAATAATATTCTGGAAAATTATTACCTCTTTAGATACTGAAAAATAAACCCAATACAATTAAGCTTAAGCCTATAATTTTCTTTCTTGTTACCTAGTAGAATTCTACTTCTTAATAGGTAACATAAATTTATCTATCAAATATCATTATATGTCTACTTCATTATTACAGTAATAAAGACTAAGTTTGTATCAAACTACTAGAAAGATTAAATGTAAGTTAAATTGATTGCCTATAAATATGTAAATAAAGAGCAATCAATTTTTAGACATCTCTAGGCAGAAAAAAATGGATGTACTGGGAAGCACTGTCTGTTGTCTGAGTGATTTTTTATTTTATTTTTGGATACAACCTGCAGCAAGTGCTGAAGGCTTACTCCTGGCTCTGCCTTCAGAAATCAATCCTGACTGTGCTCAGGGGACCATTTGGGGGACTGGAGATCAAACCTGGGTCAGCCACATGCGAGGCAAGTGCCCTACTCACTAGACTATATCTTTCTAGCCCCAGCTGACTGAATTATTAAAAAAGAAAATATTAAAAAGTTATAAAAAATAAAATTATTTTTTAAAAAACTATTTATTTTTAGTCAGTTAACTCTCTACTATGCAAGAACATTTTGTTTTGGATTTTAAGAGAAAAAATTGCCGAGAAGCACATTAAAATTACTACATCATAAAATTTAACATTTCGGTTCATCTTTGTGGATACAATGAAAAAGCAAAGTCCCCTAACTGGTTGCATGAAAGCTCTTGGGGAAAGAAAGATGCAGAAAGACCAACTCAGCCTCTCCAAGGGCTTTATGCCTCGGCCCTAGTTGGAAACACACAAACACACAAATATTCCTCGTGTGAATTAACTAATTAGGCTTGTGCCTCTTGTAGGTTTGGGGTCTGAAGTTACTCCTTCGCCCTCCCCAAGGTAAGTGAAAGTGAGACAATCTGGTCCCGCAGGCTGATCCTCAGGACGGATGGTGGAAGAACTGGAATATTCCCACCAGGGAGCGGCCAATAACCACACGGAGAAAGCCCACGGGTCCCTGAGGAAGAAAGTAGACTCTGCAGACCCAGAAAAGAGGCTCTCTGTTAAGAAAGAGGTAGCAGAGGTAATATCACTACAGACGAGGTTAGGAAGGCACAAAAAAGGATCAAAATGGAACATTGGAAACATTCACATAAATGAAAAAGATATTAATAAAAATAGGCAGGATGGACAGAGCAGACCTAGTAGAGAGAGAATTCATAACTGGAAAACAGAGTTGGGAGATGAGCCTGAACACTGCTAGAGCTGCAAGGAAAATATACCTATTTTTGAGTTACAAATTTTTACTTTTTTTTCTATTTGGAAGGGCACCACATAAAGCCATGCGGTGGTGGTGGGTGGGGGAGGGAGTGGGATGGGGGGTAACTCTGATGATACTTTGCCAACTGGGGTTCAGAGTTCAGTGCAAGGGCCCAAGACATTAAGGCTGCTCAGTCCCACGGCCCTAGGTCCCACCTGAGCTACCCTGGTGATGTTTGGGGTGGTCCCACTCAGTGCTGCAGGGAACCAAACCAGCATCCTATATATGCAAAAAAGGATCCCCTGTGCTAGTTGACCCTGACCCTGTGCTAGTTCCCCACACTCCAAATTTTCAGCCTCTAAATTTCAATTACTTTTCTTTGGGGGGGGGGCACACTTGATGATGCTTAGGGGTTATTCCTGACTCTGCACTCAGGAATCACTTCTGGCAGTCAAGTACCTTCCCTTCTGGCCCCTGGAATTCATGTTTCTTTAGTAGAGGTTATGAGAGCATTTCCCTCATATTAACTCACTATGCCAATCATTTGTGTTTTTTTCATGTACGTGGTTTATAGAAAAAAAATTTTTTTTGAGGGGGTGGTTTGGGCAACATTTCATGATGTTACTATAACCCTGTTACCAAAGTCAGACAAATGTTGTGTTAGAAACAAAATTTATATGTCAACACTTAAAATACTAAAGTGTTAACAAGCAAAGGCTAACATTATATTAAAAAATATATACCACACAATGTACAGTTTGTTCCAAGAATTAAATTAGATAGCTCCATACTGAAAAAAAAATACCCTATTCTGTAAGCCTTATCATAAGATGGTTAAAGAGAAGGAAATGAATTTCCTTCTATCAGCAATTAGAAATGAAAAACGTGATTTTTTTAAACATGATTTTTAAAAACTGCAGCAAGCAGCACACTAAACGGCTAAAACCTGAGACACAGAGTCTTATGTCATACACACATCTAAAACTTAGTAGATGGAGATAAAACCAAACACAAAATTTAATCTACGAGACTGAAAAGAAAGTCACACTAAATTATTAGTGATGCTTTTCATTGTTTTAGAATAGTAATCAGCTAAGTAAATCTGTACATTAGAGGAACTAAGAGAAACCCAACAGAGCTATTTATGTGCAACATTCCTGTGTTTTGCAAAAAAAAAAAAAAATTCCAGAAAAAAACCCATAAAGTTAATGGAAATAATATATATAATAAAAATTACAAAAGTCCAGGGTATAACTGGAGTGGAGTGCTGAGTCCCCAGCACCAACAAAGAAAGGAAGATAGTGAGGACATAAAAGACAAATGATAAAGATCTAACTATTTAAGAATCTATCGGTTATTTACTGAGTCAGAAGATTCAACATGCAGAGGTTATAGTTCTCTCTTTAGTACAGTGGGTAGGGCGCTTGCCTTGCATGCGGCAACCCCGGTATCCCACAGGATCCCCCAAACACCGCCAGGAGTGATCCATAAGCATTGTCGGTGTATAAAGGGGAGCGGAATGCTCACTCATTTTTGTTGTTGCCCTTCCCTTTTTCACTCTTGGTCTGATTTCTCTAAACAAAATATGCAAATGATCAACAGGCATAAGGAAAGGCCAGTCAACAGCACCAGGGAAGTCAATGCCGCCTGTACTATGTGCCCTGTCGCCATCGGGACACTGTCACAGTAAAGGGC